GTCAACTAAGTTTTGAGGAAGGCCTCAAGAATACACAATGGGGGAAATAGTCTCTTTGATAAATGGTTTTCGGAAACGAGATATCCAGATGCAAAAGAATGAAATTGATCTTTACACCACAGATAAAAATCAACTCAGAATGGATCAACTCAGACCACTTAAATGTAAGACCTGAAACCATAAAATTCCCAGAAGAAAACATAAGGGAAAAGCTCCTTGACATTGGCCTGACTCTGGAGAAAACCAAGAGGAAAGAAGAGAAGGATGTAGAAGATTCTTCTCTAATCTAGGTGTCACCAGGGGCCCCCACTCTTTGATATTAGCTAAGATTGCTTTTCTTGCCACCCTCCACATTCCAGGTTTTTCTTCTTTTCCTGAGAATTTTTGCAAATCTTTTCTCCTAGTCACTTCTCCATTCTATAACTTACAAGGCTGTTTATCTCTGATTCAGCATTGATTTAAACTTGAGACATAATCCTTTATTTTCTCCCAAAATTTGCTTGTAAGAGTCAAATATCTACAATCATGTGTGGTAGATTTTACTAGCAATTAAAGTAAGTGTGTGGGAGCATAGGTTGCAGCACCACTTGGAAAATAAAATAAAATTGAAAGTAGCTTCTAAAAGTCCCTTTATCATTTCTACCAACTTGGATTTCAGTGTCTCATCCCATCTCAGCTTTCTCTCTTGCTTCCTCTCCCAGATGTGACTAAAATTCCTTTATATCATGATTTAAAGAGCATTTCAGCTCTAGCACTTACTACTCCCCCACAATTTACACTTTGCATAGCTCAAGATTTATTAATGCGCTCTGCTAAAAAAAGGTTGATGTGTTCCAAATGTCACCCTTTCTTCTCTTGCCTTTCCTGTTAGTGTCTATAGGAGCAGGGACAGAAATATGGAAATTTACTTCCCCAGAAGTAAGAATTATACCTTTACTTTAGAAGACAGGAGGGTAAAGTTGATTTTGGTTTTAAATAACAATTGCAACAAAATTGCCATTATGTTGGTGCCTTACCTTAAAGGCTTAAAGAGTCTGGGAATGCTAGTTTACTAAAAGGACCACTGAAAAGGGACTCAAGAGACCAGGTTCTTATCCTGGTTCTGTTACTAACTAGTTGAGTGATCTTGGGGAAAGTACCTCACTGGGTTTGAATGAGCAATCCCCAAATTTCCTGCCAATTCCACGAGCCTATGCTTTGTTTGAGAGTCTCCCGGTTGCCTAATTCTTCTATAAATGCAATCGTGGCTGGGATTTCCCCCTTCACAGGTGGGTGAACATACCAACACTCTGGACTATGAACATACCAACCTCTCCCTGGCCAGCTGTCTGGTCAACATCTGCTGTCAATTATAGGGGTTTTACAGGCCAAGCTTTGGAGCCAGACATAGGCATGGATCTTGGTTACTTCAGCTCCGAACTTCAGTTGCTTGATTTGCTTTCAGAACCAGCTTCCTTATTTGTAAACTGGGCATGATAATATCTACCTTGTAAGATTGTGTTTAATATAAGAATGCAAGAGAAACACTAAAGTGCCTGGCCTATGATAAGAGCTCAATAAATGGAATTTATGATCACTAACATCATGTCTGTTGTAAAGGGGCTGAGTGAGTATCATGGCAAACTCATGCTGTGCTCTTTCTGGATCTGCTGAGGCATTCTACTGTGTGTGGTAGAAAGGACTCAGTTAACTGTATAGGTCACTCCTAGACTGTAGTTTTGTTGAGTGGGAAATATAATCTGAGAGGGAGAGCCGAATGGTTCTAGGCAGCAATATTTTTTTAAGGCTGTGTGGAGTAAGAAGAAAGCAGATTATTGAAAGAGTTGGGAGGAGAGAGGACTTTAAAAAGGAAAACTAAACATTACCAAGAGGAAACTTGGTTCGGTTTCTGCAGAGTGATGAGCACCATGCACCCCTTTTTCCTCTGACTTCATACATTTTAAATATTTATAAAACTTTATTTAGCCCCGAGGAGTACAATCTGTTGTTTGGATTTATCAAAGTGTGGAGTCCTGCTTCAAGGGGGTGTAGGTGTAAGAACAGAGTATGTTAAGGAAATCTTCTCAGAACATATATTTTGAAGATTTTAGGCAGGTTATAATAGCTCTTGCGATAGGGTACTACGTATATCATCTATGCTCTTGAGGTTCAAACCTTTCTGGCCTAGGAACCTGTGGAAAAAAATGGGACAAGTTTGCTTTTATCATGGACTTTCCCCCATCTGGTCTGCATCTAGCAGGCTGGTAATGTAAAGAAATAGCGGCATGGCACAGGCATCGTGAAACAGCGCCCTCTACTGTTCCTGAGGGAACCATGCAGCTGTGGTCAAATCATGAGGTAAGTGCAAGGCTCCAGAGCAAAAAAAATAAAAATAAAAAAAAGCCGCTCTGCTGTCTGCTACCATTAGGACGCTGGGAGGCCAGCTACTGGCACATATAGCCCGTCTCAGCTGTAAATACTCAGCAGAAGCAAGACAGCCCCGCCAGCAGCAGCTTACCTCCCTACTCTAGTTTCTAGGCAGGCGCTGACCCCGTGCTGCCTATGAATGCTGCCCTCCCACTTCTCCCTGCAAACACAGAAGAGCTCCTATTAGTTTTGCTTCTTAGCAGAAATAATTTTAAAAATATTTTAAAAATTGATTTCAGAGAGGAAGGGAGAGGGAGGGAGGGTTAGATAGAAACATCAATGATGAGAGAGAATCATTGATTGGCTCCTTGCTGCACACCCCACACTGGAAATGGAGCCCACAACCCGGGCATATGCCCTGACCGGGAATCAAACCTCGACCTCCTGGTTCATAGGTTGATGCTCAAGCACCGTGCCATGCCAGCCAGACAGCAGAAATAATTTTTATTATTTTTTAATTGTATTTTTATTTTTTACTAGGTTACTGGTTTGTTATAATAGAACTCAGGAACAGACAAATGGAAGAGGTGCGAGGTATGGGGAACGGAAAGGAGCTTCCATGCCCCCCTGAGCACATCACTGCCCCCAAATCTCCACATGTCACCAATCTGGAAGCTCCGACAGAAAGAATTTTTAAAACAGTGATTTTAACCATTGAACTTTGCCTTTAGAAGACCTCCGCTTCTCAGTATTATGGAATTAAAAAATTTAAACCACTTTAAGGAGGCTGTCATAGAAAACAGTTCATTCAAAGTTTATACCAATAAGAGATCAACATATTATTCTTTCCTTTTCTCTCTTTCTTCCCCTCTTGCCTTCCCCTCCCCCCCCTTTTTTTTTTTTAAAAATAAGACGATCTAAAATACCACAGAATCTTTTTTTTTCATCTTTTATTTTCAAAGGCCACAGAATCATTTTCTATAGTAATGATGTTACATGGGGGAAACTGTTTTGCTAACTTTCTCTACCTTCTGGGAACAGGTTAGATTTATTTTTTATTTTTATTGCTGGCTCTCCTTACCTTCTGAGCAGACATCTGCGCTTGAATTCTCACTCTCAACTACTGTATTCTGGGTGTGACCCCAAACCGTAGTCAGCCTTTTCCTTTACTTTAAATAACAAAGAGGAGAACTCTGAGGATTTTAAGCCTGCAGTAGGGATTTGCATTCTCTACAATAACTTTTGAGCTGTTTTCTCAGCATTATTCTACTTAGCTACAGCAAAGAAAATACAGTGATGAGTAATGAAATAAGCATGAAAGGAAACATTTTAAAAAGTTTTCTTAAAAGACTGAAGCTTCAGTGTGTGAAAGTGCATTTTCTTTCATGATTCCAAGTTTCAGTTCATGAGTTATGAGGGCACGCATTTTTTCTCTATCATATGGCAGGACATTGGTAAATGGAAGCTGGCCACACCTTATCTTTCCCTTCCATCAAGAATATAGTCCATTTTAATGCAGCATTGGCCACCTGTGGGAAGGAACTGCCAGATGCCACTGGATCCCAGAATTCCACTGCCATTCATTACAGGAATAAGTGGTGGGGGGAATGTAGGTCTTATTGACATTATGGAGGGTATTTCCATGTAAGGTGCTGGGTAAATAACTCAGAGTTCATTGTAGTGTCAGCCTACAGGTATTTGTGCATTACTCTACGCACACAGACACAGCTTTGGTGTTTTCTGAAGCCGGGAGTTAGGAATTTACTCATTACATGAAATTTACCAGATTAGAAAAGTTGCTCAATTGGTTGGTATTTCTATTTGATTACTTCTATTTAGTTACTTCTATTTGGTTGCTTCTACTTAAAATATTCATCTTGGGTAGAAGATACTTTTAGTCTTTCAGTAAAGAATGGCTTTGCTAACACACGGTCAGCTGACTTAGTGCTTGGTATGTCATTTCCTGTCTCAGACTAGCATAATACATGGATCTGATCTCACCTATTGAACATTGATAGGCATGGGAATCCCTCCTCAATTGTTTCTATTGTGGGACTCATCATGTATGAATGTGACTTATCTGTCCTTCCTTCCTACCTTCCCAAGGACATCTTGTCTCTAAGAGGAGAATGCCCATTCAAAGAGAGAGCAGAGAGATGAAACCCAATAACATTGCTTTGAGGCTTCTGGATCCAACCATGCCTGAAGCCCCAGATTTTTAGTTCCATGAGGCAATAACATTTTTTGATATAAATTTATAAATCAGCTAAGCGAAGGTCACTCGCAACCAAAGAGTGCTAATATAAGTAGTAAGCAATCTTCTGCATTGCAGGGATCCAGTTTCTTAGATTGTGAACATTCACTAGAAAAATTGATAAACTCTAACTTTGCTCAGCCTCCATGATATTATTCTAAAAATGGTCTAGTTCGTTTACTGTCTGGTACTGTTTCGCTTATCCATAGAGCCACAGACATCTATTGACAGAGCTCTTTACTGGGCAAGGTCAATCTTGGAAAGACAGCATGGGGAGGAAAGGTAATCAGGTAGGCAAACCTCAAGGGGAAAATGGAAGAAAACCTTTTCCCTCCTCAAGTTCTGCTGTCTCCTAGACGGACACCACTTGCTTCTTTGGCTCAAGGATATTTCCTGGGGGTCAGTGGGGTAGCATGTCCTCTGTCTCAAGCGTGAGAGATGGAAACAGGAAGCTTCTTAGCTTCCACAAGATGCCCCTGCTCAGTATCTTGGGCAGTACGTTGATAAGTACATCTGGATTTATAAAACTTATATGGAAAAACAAGTAGCCCAGAAGTCTGATGAAAAACAGGGTGATGAAAAAGGAGTATCGGAAAATCCTGAAAAGAGAAAGCCAAGAAACTGTTAACCAGAGGTTAGAAAACCTGGAACAAAATAGTAAGTCATATGTACGCCATGTCTAGCTTCTTCTGGGTGGTCAGATGTCTCCCACTCATTGTTGCTTTTATTCTCAACAATCCCTTATAAAGGCAGCCCCTACCCATAGCTACTCTCTCCTATCACTGGGTCTTACTTTGTTCTAGCATTTCTCACTGTCTGAAATTTTCTTTCTTCCTTTTTCCTTCCTTCCTTCCTTCCTTCCTTCCTTCCTTCCTTCCTTCCTTCCTTCCTTCCTTCCTTCCTCCCTCCCTCCCTCCCTCCCTCCCTCCCTCCCTCCCTCCCTCCCTCCTTTCTTTCTTTCTTTCTTTCTTTCTTTCTTTCTTTCTTTCTTTCTTTCTTTCTTTCTTTCTTTCTTTCTTTCTTTCTTTCTTTCTCTCTCTCTCTCTCTCTCTCTCTCTCTCTCTCTCTCTCTCTCTCTCTCTTTCTTTCTTTCTTTCTTTCGTTTCCAAAAATTGTTTTACAAAGTAGTGGTACCAAATTATACCCCACCAGCAAGATATATTTTTTTGTGAATCTGCATCCTCCCCAACACTTAATATGATCAAATTTTTTTAAAAAAATTGGCCAATCAAATGGATGTAAAGTAATGCCTTAGCATAGTCTTGGTTTTTATTTTTCTGATGAACAATGATGCTGAACATCTGATCATAAGCTTATTGGTCTTATGTGCTTTCTCTTGCCTGTTGACCTAGTAGGTTGTCTGGGCTTTCTTATTAATTATAAGAGTCCTTAATATCTGATATAAATCCTTTTCCATTGTGTGTATTTTAGTATCTTCCCTCTACTTTATAACTTTCACTTGCTCTAACGTATGAAAGAACAAAAATTATTAATTTTAATAAAGTCTAGTTTATCAGCCCTTTCTTTAATTAGAATCAGTGCTTTTTGTGTCTTGTTTAAAAAATAAAATCATTCCATACCTGAAGACCTAACAGACACTATTTTATTAAGAGTTTATGGTAGTTTAAAAATATGCCCACAAATTCTTTGATATTTTTCCCTTCAAGAGATTCCCCTCCATTGGAATGTGGACTGGACTCAATGACTTGTTTCAAAAGAAGAGAATATTGTGGAAGTGACAGTGTGTGACTTCCTAGACGGCACGCTGAAGACAGTGCAACTCCCTCTTTACTCTTAGGAGGGAGCCAGCAGTCATGCTGGGAGGACACACAATCAGCCCTGGGAGAGGTCCATGAGACCAGGAACTAAGATCTCTTGCCAATAACCAACAAAATTTGCCAGGTGTGTGTATAAATTGCCTTAAATGTTGACCCCCTAGTCCCAGCTAAGCCTTCAATGACTTTGGCCAACATCTTAACCATAACCTCCTAAGAGGCCCTGAGCTAGAACCATCAGCTAGGTGGTTCACAAATTCCTGACCCATAGAAACTGTGAAATAACAAATGTTTGTTGTTTGAAGCCACTAAGTTTTGGAGTCATTTTTTTTCTTTTGAAAATATTTATTTTGTTTTGTTTTATTTAATTTATTTTATTTTATTTTATTTATTTTATTTTTGCCATCACCATTTATCCCCTCTATGCCCTCTTCCACTTCCATCCACCCCCACAATCACCACACTGTTGTCCATGTCCATGAGTTCTCTCTCTTTTTTTTCTTTTTTGCGGCAGTAGATAATGCCCATTTTTGTTTGTTTGTTTTTTTGACATTTAAATCCTCAACCCATCTAGACTTGCTTTTTGTATATACTGTACAGTAGTAATCTGATCTTATTTTATAAATCTGGATAACCATTTTCTCCTCACCATATTTATAGAACAATTCTTCCTTTCCCCTCTGACATACAATCGCTGTCACATATCAATGTTTTATAAGTGAACTGTTTCAGAACTTTTTGTTTTATTTCATTGGTCAATTTTCTAAGTCCTGTGACAATACTACACAATCATAATTGCTGTAGCTTCATAGTAATTCCTGGAAGGGCATGTTTCCCACTCCTTGCTCTTCTTTAAAATTGCCCAGGTTTTTTTAAATCCTTACTCTTCCATATACAGTATTTTTTAGAACTTTATTCAAGCACATGAAAAATCTTTTGGGGAGTTTGGAGTTGAATTGACTCTATTAATCACTTGGAGACAATTGATATCTTTATGATGTTAAGGCCTCCTATCCATAACTATGATATTTCTCTTTTTTCACTCATGTTACCTTTAATATTTCCTGATAAATTTTTATAAATTTCACTATGGTATTCTTTATTTCTTCTTTAACTGATGTATTATTTTGCACCTGTGGTTTTAATATGATTTGCAGGAGGAAACTTCCATTGTTCTTGTTTGTTTGTTTTTGTATTACCCTTATCTACCTGTGCTGGGCTTCCTCCTGCCCCAGGACAAATTCACTACCCACTTCCATCCACAGTCAAAAACAGTCCTTCCCCACCAGCTTTTAACGTTTTCCTGTAGAGTTAATCTTGGTGACAGGATCCAGGATCCATTCTAACACAGCATCTTGGTCAGAATTAGAATCAGAAGCCCTTTACAAGCCTCTTCCCACCACTCTCCCTGAAGCTGGATATAACATTCATGAGAAGGTTTTGCGATGACATCTCAGGGATGACATTTCCAGGGAAAATCCTAGGAATAACCTAGCTTTCTTATCTCTTGAGTCAGTGCTCCACAGGATGTCAGAGCAGAACAAGAGGAAAGACATTTATAGTTTGATGTGATGAACTAGACTAGTAGGATGTTGTGAGGTTCTCTTCTGGATACCAACTCTCTGTTGAAAGTATTACATATGTCCCCTTTTTCCCCCACCGACCCCCTCCAGCCCTACCCCCTGCCCCAAGCCCTCACCATCCCACTGACTGTGTCCATGAGTTATGCATATAAGCATACAAGGTCTTTGGTTGATTACCTCTCCCCTACCTGCCCTCCCCCACCTTCTCTCTGAGATTCTACATTCTGTTCCATGCTTCCATGTCTCTGGATCCACTCCATTCATCAGTTTATTTTGTTAATTAGATTCCACATATGAATGAGATCATGTGTTACTTGTATTTCTCTGATTGACTTATTTCACTTAGCATGATACTCTCCAGGTCCCTCCATGCTGTCTCAAAGGGTAAGAGGAGATTCTTTTTTATAGCTGCATAGTATTCCATGGTGTAAATGTACCACAGCTTTTTTTATACACTCATCTACTGATGGGCACTTGGGCTGTTTCCAGATCTTAGCTATTGTAAATTGTGCAGACAATTCCAGGCTGGGTACTGGTATCAAAGTATAGGTGAAGAAATTCTGCTAGTTGTTCAGGAAACTTTATATTTAGAGATATCAAAATAAGTAATGCATCACTTATCTGGTATGAAAATTTCCAGACAATTGAAGCTGACCTTTAAGTACCAATAATTTTATGTTAACTATTTTGATGGAACACTTTTTACATACTATTTCAAACCACTTTGAATATATGTTTCTCTACACTTTCTTAAGCAGATTATATTGAACACAATTTGACCTTTTCTTGGAAATGCAAGGGCTTCATGAATACCAATTTCACTTTGCTATCAGAACTAATAATATCTACTCAGTTGTTTGAATCTTGAGTTCTTATTTAGTTTAACAAGTATTTTTTGAGCAATTTTTATGTGCTGGATAGTTAGGTGCTATCTCTTTTCATAGTCATTTTTCTCTTTTATTTGCTGTTAGGCAGTGGTATACTTGCATTTTGAAGTTCTCTCCCATTTCTATTTTTTCCATGTCAGAGGGGTAATGTACTGACATTGTAACAAGGTTTGAGGGAGGAATATTGTACAAAATAGCATGAAAACCCATTCATCATGCTTATGAACCACAGAAGCATGAAGATCTCCCCATTTTCAATCTACTGATGCTGCTGGGGAACTAGATACATCAAGATAATTCAAATTGTTAAAGGGAAAATGGAGTAAGAGGAGATTTGCTGTATCTGTTTTAGATGATTCTTGTTTCTGATGGCCATTAGGCCATGATTTTCTAATATTGGGAAGTTGAGATTAGTAATTGCCTTTGAACAAAGAAGTCATAACATTAGAACTGAGAAATGTAGTCATCGATGACATTAGTTTGTTGACTTAACTGTTTGTGTATGTGTGTGTCTATACAAGGTTCTCCTTGTCTAGACTTTGCTTTCTGCCAGGATGGCTAAGCATAACTCCCAGTTTTCCAGGAAGTGTACTCAAAGATATTTACTTACCTTTTACAGAACCATATTCCCTTATTTTGGAGAGATTTAACCTGGAAGAAGAAGGAATATTGATAAGCAATTTCTGGAAGCTACCATCACTGTCAAATAATATTTTGTGATGGCAATATATTTGTGAATAATATTCAGTGAACATTAGTTAATGTTACACAGTATTTAGGTAATATCTTATATTTTAATATGCATAAATAGATAGATGGAATATTAAAAATGTTTTTATTGATTTTTAGAGAGAGAGGAAGAGGGGGAGAGAGAAAAGAAGAAGGGGAGAGAAAGAGAGGGAGGGGGAGAGAAAGAGAGGGGGAGAGAGAGAGAGAGAGAGAGAGAGAGAGAGAGAGAGACATTGATCAGTTGCTTCTCACATGCACCTTGACTGGGGAGTGAATCCACAACCTGGGCATATACCCTGACCTAGAATAGAACTGTTGATCTTTAGGTGCATGGGGCAATGCTCAACCACTGAGCCGCACAGGCTAGGGCAACAAATAAAAACTTTAAAGATAAAAACATATGTATAAAATTTTATGTTTGCTTTTTACATACTGATAGGAATAAATGAAGGCATAGAAAGGTAAAGCATGTTGCCGAAGATCAGTGTTCCTAGAGACCAGGTGTTCTGATTCTGGGCTCTTTCAGGTGCACCCTCACCTTCTCCTTAGCCAGTAATCCTTAGAGAAGTTACAGGCTTTGAAAACCATACAAACTTATTCCAAGGGATACATTTTAAAAGCTATAAAAATGTAAAGGTGAGGATAGATCCTGAATTTCTGTGGTATCTCTATTCTAAAATATTTTCTTAGTTATTTCACTTTACTTTTAACTTTTAAAATAAAAATATGTACAGAAATTATAATCGTTCAAAGTGGGGGAAATGAGGCTCACAGAACTGGAATTAGAAACTTTCTGGGTTACAGATTTGGTTACAGCTGGAGTGAGATCAAGTGGCATGCTAGCTGGCCAGTTGCACAGGCAGCCTCTCTATAAAGATTGCTCAAACATCATAGGTCAGCAAGCCATCATGGGATTGATAATCTTGATAAAGACAACTGTTTTCCCTCTGATAGGTGGTCAGAGGGAACACTGCTAGCCACTGGTAATAGATGGTGAGACACATCAGGGAGCATGCCACGCTTGGTTCTAGAGAGGTTAATTTCAGTTTTGTTTGCTGAGGGTACGCAAGCTTGGGGCCAGAGTCACTTGTTCAGGACAAAGGGAACCATGGCCACCGTGAACATTGTCTAACATATATCTAAACATCTGGAGAATCTAAACAAGGGCAATCAATGGTTGATAATTATTATTACTTTAAAATATGTTTTTATTCATTTCAGAGAGAGAAAGGTAGAGTGAGAGAGCAAGAGATAGAAATATTAATGATGAGAATCATTGATTGGTTGCCTTCTGCACGCCCCCTACTGGGGATAGAGCCCACAACCCTGGGCATGTGCCCTGATCAGGAATCGAACTGTGACTTCCTGGTTCATAGGTGGACACTCAAACACTGAACCACACCCACTCGGGCTCAATGGTTAATTATTGATACTTGTTTATAAGGAACAGATTAAGTTCTCTTTTCTTAGATTATAAAGACCGTATGTCTCAACAACATAACATTTCTGGTGAATGCCAACCTTGGCTCTAAAGCCAATATAAATTACAAAAGCAAAGTCCAAAAAGTTTATTTTTTTTGTCCTATGTACTTGCTGCTACAAGATGTCACATGGGCCAAGAGGCCTGGTGCTTTATATCCAATCCTATTTCTTTCAGACATTTGCATGCTAGTATATTCTGGTGACATCATGATGTTAAATATAAATAGACATAAAGAAGCAATGACTTCCTATGTTTTAACTCAGGCCAACTCTGATTAGACGGTGGGAGATGCCTGATACTCTGTGTTGTAAAAGATTCAGGACCATGTTGGGATCATCAGGAAAGAGTATGTGGTTGTGGGAGATGGAAGGAATCAGTGGTGTATGTGTCATGTGCTGGCCTCCTCTCCATAGAGCGTACCCTCAGTTATATGTTCCTTCTTGCTCCCATTCTGCATTCCCTTAGGTCTTAGGCTAGTTTCTTTCAGAACATGTCATTTGTGTGTCTACAAAAAGAAGGAAGACAATTGTTCCTCAGCATCCTCTTTGCTTGCTTAGATTTGGAATGTCTTGGAATGATGTCTGGTACTGTTCTTGGAAAATACACATGGGAAGATTGGTAGATGATTGGTGGCTTGTGGTATTTAGGAAACTCCTTTGAGAGGCAATGGCACTGAGAGAAGCTGAGGGTCAGCGGAGTGCTTACCTTATTATTTCGGCTGTTGTACTTTTTGCTTGCAGAGCTCATGCTCAAGACTTTTGATCTTGGGGAAAAGAACCAAAATAGGGATTGAGTAAAGTACACTCCAATATTCACACTGTGACTACTTAAAAACAATTTTAGATCCTAAAGCTATACTGTCCACTATTGTAGCTACATGTAGATATTTACATGTAAATTAATTTAAAAAACATTTCCTCAGTGACAACTCAGTAGGTGACTAGGTTCTACCTATTGGATAGCACAGAAAGTTCTCTTGGGCAGCCCTGTTCTAGGATCTTAGCTTAGAAGCCAGGCCATAGCTAATGCTCAGGAAGAAGTTGGGCCATCTTGAAGGTGTCCTTTAGAGGCGAGGATCTCCAAGTCCTGGTGCCCTTACCCCCAGGCCGCAGTGTGTATTTGGGCTATTCAGAGGCCGAATGCAGTTTTGGTCTCCTTCTCTTGATTCCCAAGATTCCAAACTATTTAATAAATAGAAATACTTCTTAACTAACTTTAGATTTGACTTATAAAGAGGGTCAAGAAATGGAAGTGAGATTTTCGGTTTGGGTTTCTCACCAGTTAGACCCTTATTTATCATTTCTATTTTTTAAATTTTATTTCCCCCCCATCACCACGTATCCCTCTTATATCCTCTTCCACCTCCACCCATCCCAGCCCCTCATTTCTAATTTTTAATTTTCATAGTTTAATAGAGTTTGAGTTTTATACTATGATAGATTTAATGTGTGTCTAGGGATTAGTTTCATTTTATCCCATTTGGTTTCGTTTCCATATATTTGGAGGAAGTAAGGATGGTACTAAGTTTTAAGGCATTTTCTGTAATATATAAGGAATGTCCTACTTATCAAGGTGACTGACCAATAACCCTTTCTAAAGCATATGTTCTTGACCTTAATATAAACTTGAATAATTAATAATAAGATAAAATTATAAGGGGAGATGTGTTTCTCTAGTCTTTTAAGAAGCATGGGAGAAGGACCTGCACTTTGATGTTGGTGTGGTTTAAATGGAGGTCCACCAGATCACTGACAGGGGAACGCTGTGATGTTGGGGCACCCTCCGTTCCAACTAAGAACTGGTCAGAGAAATGTTTGCTCTGACCCAGGCTGAGATGGAGTTACCACTAAAACCAGGATGTTCCTTTGTTTGCCAAAGCTCACACTTCTCTCTCAAGGAACCGAGTCTCTAATTCTTCTTCTATTTTCTTCAAAGTTTCCTGGTACTTCTTCAAAGGGAAAGAAAAGAAACCACAGTTACTAATGAGAAGCTTTATGCTTTTGCTAATCATAATAAGCATGTATTATTACATTGTAACATGAATGTTTGGTATTCCTATTGCCCCTTTGTCTGCTTTCCTCACCCCCACCCCCACCCCACCACTATTGATCTCTCCCTATACGTCACCATTGGGCAGCACCTTGGGGTAACAGGGATTATAAAGAGGCAGAGTGCTCATTATTAATTTAAGAGCACAGAGGTTGGGAGACCATGACAGTAATAGAACTATATTAGTGGTGGTGATTCGAGGGCCCTGAAGTCTTTTGTAATACCACCCTGAAGAGTTAAAATTGTTCGAGATAGTATACTTTGAAAAGCCTGGTTACATTTCATCCTGTGCCTTAACAAACCCATTGCTAGCCCTTTACTTAGGAGCTGTACCTTTATGCAGAGGGCCTGGTCTTCACAGAGCTGGACCACAAATGCAAAGTCTTCCATTACCTGAGAAGCCAAAATTCAGTTTTAAAATTCTCTCAGTAAATTGCTTTAAGAATAAGAGTATGCTTGTTTTGTTCTACATCAAGACCCCAAATGTGAATTGTTCTAAGTATGTTTTAGCTGTATGTATGTATGTACTCATTTCTTTTCTTTTCTTTCTTTCTTTCTTTCTTTCTTTCTTTCTTCTTCTTCTTCTTCTTCTCTTTCTTCCTTCCTTCCTTCTTCCCTTCCTTCATCCCTCCCTCTCCCTCCTCCTTCCTTCCTTCCTTCCTTCCTTCCTTCCTTCCTTCCTTCCTTCCTTCCTTCCTTTCTCTCTCTCTCTCTCTCTCTCTCTCTCTCTCTCTCTCTCTCTCTCTCTTCTTCTTCTTCTTCTTCTTCTCCTCCTCCTCCTCCTCCTCCTCCTCCTCCTCCTCCTCCTCCTCCTCCTTCTTCTTCTTCTTCTTCTTCTTCTTCTTCTTCTTCTTCTTCTTCTTCTTCTTCTTTTTGGATAAACAAGCAGTAAGTACTTTCCAATCGCAACAGAAAATACTTGGGAACAGTTGGAGAAGAATAGATACTAATGTTGAATTTATGGATTATGGAATGTACCCTGTAGCAATGTTAGAAGGAAGTATTAGAGGACTGTATTAATGTTTCTTCCTCTCCTCCTTGGCCCCCTTATGGTCTGGATCTGGAATCCTATTCGAACTCAGTCATTTGAGGAATGCATTAGATGGTCTGACCAAGGATCAAGTTTCCCTTCCTTTGGGAGAAGTGACGTTGAAATCCCTGCCGTTACCTTGGTCAGCTTCTTCTCTTGGTCAGCACAGGAAGCTTCCAGCTGCTGTAACTTAGCCTGTATAAAGGAAAGGAGATTGGTAATACAGCAAAGTGGAAACGAGAGGGGACCCCATTCTGAAATGCTCTCTCAAAGGTTATCCCACAGGTGGCTGGAGTACACCAGGCACGATTGCAGATGTCTTTTTGATGGAGGAGCCAAACCATCCAGCATCCTTTGCAGCTGTCTGGGGACCTGCTTTTCTAAACTTTTGACCTCTTCCATCCATCAGTGCTGCCTTCACCCCTAAACTTCAATTCTCAGCTTCCTTTTTAGCTTTTTCTCTTAGGGGAAAACATCAATCTTGAAAAATTTCACTATTCCTTTCCCTTTTATAAATGCATTGCTCACTTTCTCCTCCCTCTCTGCATCCCTTCTTCCCTCTTTTCCTTCCTTAAATATTTGTTGAAAGCCAATTCTATATTGGCCACTATGCTGGAGTGACAGGAAGGGGGCAGGGGGAGCACTGAGGATACAGGGGTGGTAGGATTGATAGGCTCTCTGCCTCTCAGAGCTGACATTCTAGTTGGGGGACCTAACAAATAAGTCGACATGATAATGATAAGTGCTATGAAGGAAATGAAAACAGAGAAATGTGGTGAGAGTGAGTGATGGTGTAAGAGCTATTAGAGGTGGTTGGCTGAGGCCTCTCTGATGAGATGCTATTTTAGCTGATGTCCAAGTGATAAATATTACACAAATAGATATCTGGAAGAAATATGTTCCATGCAGAAGTTACAGCAAGGGCCAAGACTGAAGTAGCACAGTTTGGTGTGTATGGAGAAGTTACGTGGCTGGAACATGGGAGAGACTGGTAAGAAGAAAATGAGGTGAGGGATGTTAGATACGGATGAGATTCTGTGGGGTTTTATAATTTCTAAAACTAGTTTGATTCTTTATACTAATTGCAGTGAGAAGCCAGGAAAGATCTTGAAGTAGTAAAGACACAGTCTGATTTGTGTTTTTAAAGAGGACTTTTCTATGCATGGAACATTGCTTAGGAGTAAGAGTAGAAGCAGGAAGACTAGGTAGGAGGCTAGTATAGTGTGAAAGGCTATGGTGCCTTGCAAAAGGGTGGTAGCAGTAGATAGAGAGAAATGGATGCATTTGGGGTATATTCTGTAGCTAGAGCAGTCATGACTGCATATCCCTCCTTTTATTTTCAACTCTATTGTTCTCACTTTCATCTAGGTACCATTATTTCACATCTGTACTCTTCTAACAGTTCCTTTCCCTTCCAATCAATTACATCCAGGGCCAGACAATCAAATGTGCTAAGGGCTATATTTTCAAGACAATGATCTGAGTCACAGGGAGTTGAAGCAAGTATCCTATTAACTGCTGAACTGATCACCCACATGCAAGAGGACCAGAAGCAAAAGAAATGCTGTATATTTCATAGAATTAGAGATATCACCTGATAATTCTAAGTCACAGGTGGGCAAAGGGGAATGATTCAAATAGTTAATAATCCTCTAGAACTCTTTAGGGCTGGGCTGATCATTGCCAGGAAAAAATAGCCATTGTTCTGACAATGCCTGGAACTCTCCTATCTATTGTCTATCAGCTCAGCTCACCTAACATAGCCAGCACAGCAAGACTTAAAGTGTCACTTCTAGATTCTGGCTGGGTTACTGTCAGAAAAACTTGTCCTGGAGAGAAGAAGAAAGAAACTTCTCACTGCTGTAGTTATATAGCAAAGGAAGTCAAGGGGCTTCATGATCCTTTCTAGCCTGAGCTCTAATTTCTTCCCAATGTACACTATACCTGCAGGCTCCAGATTCCTTCCTTTCCAGATAAATTTCTTGGATAAGCATGGCCAAGCAAGTTTACTTGGTAGATTTGAACTTCCTGTGTTTTTTTCGGTCATCAACACTAATTGGCCAACAGAAGATAGGGGAGTCATTCCCTGCTCTTTCATTTTCTGTTTCTATTTTTAGTGTGTTCATATCTTTGGAGATTGCATACATACAGTGTGAGCTTAAGTGTGGGTTTAAGAAACCAAAGAGAAGTTAGATAAGGCAAGGACAAAGACTAATTCTACAGAAAGTATTTAGAATTTTATCTGCTCTCTGAATAAAATAGATAAGTCTTTAATTCTTCTTGTATCTTTGATCAGATGGTTGTGGTTGTGCCCAGATACTTAGCTTTGGAACAAAATTAGAGAAATGCCAAGCCCTGTGTGATGTGCTTAGTAGGTAGAGGTCACTATATACATCATATTGACAATGGGGATACTTTTGCCATGCTCAGAAAATAACAAAGCCTATCACACCAAGTAAATAAAGCAAACTCTGAGATGTGGATGGAAGGGTGGATTTTTTTTCTTTTTATTGTTGTCAGTATTATAGATAGTCCCCACTTTCTCCTTTTTTGCTCCCCTCCACCCAACCCCCGCCCCACCCCAGGCCTTCCCCATACTATTGTCTGTGTCCATGGGTTATGCATATATGTGTATCTTTGGTTATTCACTTCCTGACCCCTCCATCCCCTTCCCCACGGAGATCTGTTAAGTGTGTTCCATGCATCCATGCCTCTGGACCTATTTTGTTTGTCAGTTTATTTTGTTCATTAGATTCCACATATAAGTGAGATCATGTGATATTTGTCTTTTGCTAACTGGCTTATTTTGCTTAGCATAATAGTCTCCAGGTTCATTCAGGCTGTTGCAAAGGGTAAGAGCTCCTCCTTTTTTACAGCTGCATAGTATTCTATTGTAGGTTACTAAATATTTAAGTGAACAATTGAACAAATTCTTTCTGGGTTGGAATTATTAACAAGGTGTGTGAACTGTCTAATGCATAGTAGATTTACAAATCCTAGTTCTGCCTCTGGATTCATACATATATTTCAGTCAGACTTTTAAATAATGACCTTAAAATTATGTGTCTTTTTAAAGTTTTTGCCCTCCATAAAAGGGAAAAATATTTTATCCACACAAATTTTTATATTCACAACCTCATTCAATCTTCAAATTGAAGCTGGCAGTAACTGATTAAATTGCCCAACTTCATACATCAACCACACTAAATGCCGGGGCCAGCATTTAAACTACAGACTTTACCTCCAATGTTATATATGTATTCGTGTTCTACTTTTCCTGATGGAAGTGAGAACAAAATATGTAGATTCAGAGTGAAAATTCTTAATAACGGCAGAGGAGAATTCAGCATTCAGTGGCTCTGTCTTAAGCTTGACAGGGACTAAAACTACAAACAATTCATTCCAACCTTGACAATTGTTTCCACTTGAAGGCTTATTTCCTGGTCACATACCCCAAACCCATTTAAAACAGTTTTTTCGTTTACCTTTGACTCTTCTGGGGTTCCCTCTAGATTGCCCTTTTCAGACCTGGTTGCTTTAGGTGATTTTCTTGTAAGCTATGGTTTCAAATAATAATAATGATAAAAAAGCATTTCAAATAAACAAAAATACATCAAATTAAAAGCTATAGAAGACAAAGGCATTTTCTGATGTGTGGGGGCCAGTAACTTGGTCTTGATAAAAACTGCAAGAGGTCTAGCTGGTTTGGTCAGTGGTTAGAGCAGCAGCCCACAGACTGAAGGGTTGCGGGTTTGATTCTGGTCAAGGGCATGTACTTCAGTTATGGCTCAATCCTGGCTCAGGTCAGGACGTATATGGGAGGCAACAATCGATGTGTCTCTCTCATGTCGATGTTTCTCTCTCTCTCTCTCTCTCTCTCTCTCTCTCTCTCCCTCTCTCTCTTTCTCTCTCTGTCTCTCCCCCACCCTTCCACTATAAAAATCAATGGAAAAAATGTCCTCAGGTGAGGTTTAACAAAACAATAACAACAAACAAACAAACAAACAAACAAACAAACTGCCAGGAGATGGTCCCTTGGTGGATACACAGGAACACCTTAATTCTACTTTCATCTTCTCACTAGTCTTAGCCACCAGAGCTAGAGTCCACTCAAAACACGAGTGCTTCCCTGAACCCAATTTTGGGTCACTCAGGGTTGCAGGCATGGGTCATAAAGTAGGGTAATCATAGGAAATCCACTGAACTCTGAGTAGAAGTTGGGGTAGAGGGAATGCCTGGACAAGGGAAAGGGAATTCTTGGAATTTACTTTTTAAAAGTCTCTATTGAAAGTAAAATTAACTTCACCGCAAAGGCTCCAGTCAATTACTTCAACAGAGTGTCTGTTGGAATCCATCTTCTGTGGTAGGATGAAGAAACCATGGGATCACTGAATACCTTGGATATCCCACCTGCTGTTTTCACCTGGTGCTTCCAGGGAGAATCGATGGCATTTAGGTCATGAAGCTCAGCCTCAGGAGAGTAGAGCAGGAGTAGTACACGCCCCCCCCCCCCCCCCCCCGCGTTCGGGGCTCCCTGACAACTGGGGTCCTCTATAAAGAATTTTCCTCCCTGCCTCTTTGAAGACTGGGAATGGTGTGGGGACACTGGGGAACACAGAACTCCATCCCACCTTTCTTTGCAGGTCGTCTATACTGTGGACCAGAGTCTCATTCTTCCTTTCCCTGTTGAAAAGAGGTAGAGTATAAGTGGGCATCTGTACACCACCATCCTTAATTCAGTGGATTCTTCGCCATTTCACCCCAGTGATATTTTCCTGCAGTAACTCTACCTTGCTTCATAAAGCACCCGTGGTTTGATCTCAATATATACACACCAACTTTCCAGGGACAGAGACGCCCACATGTAGGGCCTATCAATATTAAATGTTATCAAAGAAACTCTGCCTTCCACACATCCCTTTCCACGCATGAGCCCATTCTGCCATGACTTTTTTGTTTTAAATACTTTTAGTTCCTCTTTTTCAAATTTATTGATGACATTATTACAGCTGTCCTGTACCCCCCCCCCCCCGCTTTACCCACCTTCACCCAAGCCCCACACCCCCTTCTTCTGGCCATCACCACAGTTGTCTATGTCCATGGGCTATGCATATACTATGTTCTTTGTCTGCCATGACTTTTCAGCTGACTCTTCTTTGAATATAAAAAGGGAGGACTAGCTTTTCTGACAATTGATGAAGGACAGGACGAGGAATAAAACTTATCAAATAGCTCTCCCCAGCTCCTAGCTTACAAGTCTATCTGTTTCTTCTTCCAGCTCCTGCAAGGCTCTTTCCCTTTCTAGTGTGGTGCAGTTTTCCTTCTCCCACTCCTCATCTTCTGCCGAATCTCTGGTCTGAGTGACCTCACTTTCCAGCCTGAATGGCACAAGCACAAACTGTGAGAAGCTGGCAGTTTCAGAACTGATAAAACACAGATATCAGTTTTAAGGGTACATCAATGACAATAAATACAGATCTCAAGTTTAGAACCCTTCTCTCCTGGATCCTTAGAATCAGATTCACTTTAAAGGTAGGAAAAGTAACACTCCCCTGCTTTCCAAGTCAAACACACAATGTTCTTTCTACTCAGGTAAATGTCACCTAGTCTCTTAGAAATCTGCTAGAAACTTACTATATTTCAGGGAATAAGCCAAAGAGAAATGCCCAAGAATGAAGAAGAAAGTTTTAGCTAAACAAAGTAGAGGTCTCTAGAGCAAGCTGGTAAATTTAGTTGTGTCTCTTCTTCACCCTTCTCCCCTCTTTTTGGATTGGGAGTTTCGCATATGAAACCCTCACACTCACCTCTGAATCTCATCTTCTTTCTCGTGGATTTTGAGGAGAAGTTCCTGATTTGCTTCGTCTATTCTCTGCATATCCTTTTCAAGGTCCATGTTCAAACTGTTAATGTTCCTCTTTGACTGGGCCAGTCTTAAGATTTCCACTTTCTTTGACCTATAGGCTCAGCCCCCAAATAAACAAGGGCCAGTTATCTTAAGATCAATAAACTTTGGGCTAAAGGGGGTATCTAGTAGGCCTGTAATTCATCGATATCACTCTTTCTGGGAGCAAGCCTTTTATTTCTCATTCGTAAGAAATTATATTTCTTAATCATGCTCTACAAACTCAGCCAGCAATGGAGCTCTTCCCCCAAGCTTTTTCGTCCAGAGTGCTCCACTCTGATTGCAGAAGCTTTGCTTCCCTAAATCTCCTAGTGCCATGGTCGGCAAACTGCGGCTCGCGAGCCACATGCGGCTCTTTGGCCCCTTGAGTGTGGCTCTTCCTAAGCCTTAGGAGTACCCTAATTAAGTTAATAACAATGTACTTGCCTATATAGTTTAAGTTTAAAAAATTTTGTTCTCAAAAGAAATTTCAATCACTGTACTGTTGATATTTGGCTCTGTTGACTAATGAGTTTGCCGACCACTGTCCTAGTGCATTGAAGAGAATGGTTTCTCATACACATTTTTCACAAACATCTGCTCATGCAGTACACTTTTATTGAGTACTTTTATCCAGGCAGCTGGCACATCACGTATGGTTGGGCCCAGCTCTGTGCAGAGCCACAAGAGGTTTCCACCAGCAGGTAGGGCTTTAGTCTTTCCCTCCTTCCCGTCTCAAATATTCTCCATTGCCTACTAGAAAGCTTAAGAGCTACCATGGGAAATCACGCCATTGAGCACACAATAGGACCGAAGCATTCATTTTCAAGAGTGCAAACATTGGTGACATCAGAGGAAGGGCAGTGTGAGAGGTTCCCCTATTCTCTCCCCTTAAAGTTACAACAATTTAAACAGCTATAATTCAACAAAGGATTCCCTGCTCAACACACAAACGTGCCTGAGACACAGGCGCACTGAAACTTCTGAAGGTGGGTGAGTGGGAGTGAGCCAGGGAGGAGGGCAGGGAGAAGCGTGGACAGTGCCACTGACTGACACAGCCTGTGGGTCTTGGGAGAGGGGAAGAACCAGGTTGCTGCCTGCACTCCCTGAGCCTAGAGAAGCAAGGTGATACTGTGAGCTCTGCCAGAGTGGTCGGTGCATGGTGCACGCTGTGGCTAAACCCATGGCCCAGGTGGAGACAGAGCACACAGGTTACTGTGATTGCCTGGCAGCTGCCATTGCCAGGCAGAAAAACAATGCCAAGGAGCCTGGCCATCTCCCCTCATCCACCCAGAGTTCGCTCCCCCTCACCCTCTCAGAGCTTGCAGCGGGACCCAGAAGAGGCTGTAGTGGTGAGTGCTGGGCTACAGAGCATATTGTATTCAACCCTGAAACCTGGAACAATGGAGGTATTTTTTCCTCTGAGTGGTAGGCACATGCTGCTGCTGATCCCTGTGACAGAGGGTAAAGACACAGAGGTGATATCTGGCAGTCACCATTACTGGGGGGAGACAAAGCTACAAAGGTACCAGCTGATCTCTCCCAGCTCATCTCACTCCCACTCATTGTGGCTATGCTGTTGGCAGAGGCTGGTTGCAGGGTACAGCTTGGAACCCCAATGCTCAGCACATTCCCCCATGGGGGTGGTGCCCTGAGACCAATGAGACCTGATCACAAAAGAAGATGCCGACCTCCCTAGGAAATAAAGGGCATTTTTCACTACCCTCAGAGATCCCAGAAAAAAGATAAAATGGCTATAGGAAATCCGAGAAGCCAGAGCAGTGCAAGAGAAACTAAAAAACTGTCAGTGCTTCATTGCCCCTAAGTGGAAAACAAAAGAAAGACTTCCCTTATCAAGTAGAGAATGCCACTCTTAATAATATAATTCCCTCAGATGCCTAGACAGAGAAGGAATCCATCAAATACCTAAAATAACCAAAGTAATGAGGTAGCTCAGAAAGAAAATGGAAAATCCCCAGAAAATAAATGTAAAGACAGAAATATGTGGTTTAAATGACAAAGAATTCAAGATTTCAGTTCTGAAAAAAATTCAATGAGACACAAGAAAATGCAGAAAGTTTAATGAATTCAGAAATAAAATAAATGAACAAAATGAATACTTTACCAGAGAGATCGAAACTTTAAAAAAAGAACCAAATAGAAATTCTGGAGATGAAGAACTCAGTAAAAGAGATGAATGATTAACAAGCTTAGGAAACAGAGTTGACAAGATGGAGGAAAGAATTGGTGACATTGATGATAGAAATCTAGAAATGATGCAGATGAAAAAAGAGATTTGAGAGTAAAAAACAAAAAATAAACAAAAAACCCCAAAAGATGAAAAAACTCTACAAGAACTATCTGACTTCATCAGAAAGAGTAATAGGCTTACCAGAAGGAGAAGAGAGGGACAAGGGAATAGAGAGACTATTCAAATATTTGATGAAAACTTTCCAAACCTATAGAAAGAGCTAGATCCTTGAATCCAGGAAACAAACAGAACACTTAATTATCTCAATCCAGAAAGGCCTTCTCCAAGACACATTATATTAAAATTGTCAAAAATTAACGACAAAGAAAGAATTCTCAAGACAGGCAACGGAAAAGAAGACAGTAACATGTAAAGGAAAACCCATTAGATTTATCAACATAAACCCTACAAGCCAGGAGAGAGTAAAATCAAATATTTAAACTATTGAAAGAGAGAATCTACCAGCCAAGAATAATACTAGTATATCCAGCAATCTTATGCTTTATATATGAAAAAGAAATAAAGGCTATTCCAGACATACAGAAGCTGAGAGAATTTACCACCACAAAATGAAATGGGTTAATTATATCTGAAACAAAACTATGAGTAAGATTATTAGACAGACAGAAGCAGTATATTATAACCCTTTTTCAGAAATGGGTATTATACATTTAAAAATAAATTTTAGAGCAAGTAAAAACATTAAAAAAGGAGAGAAGACAAAGACAATATATTGTAATTTGTAAATGAACTCACAGCAAAAATGGAGATAATTTGTGACAATAAAAACATAAAAGGGGAGGAGGTAAGGTCTGAATTTGCAAAGGGGAATGGAGATAAGATGCATTCAGAAGAAAAAGGACTTTCTTTTGCAATACCCAATGGTAACCATATACAAAAAAATCTAAAACTGAGACACATTAGTTAAAAAAAGAGAAAACAGAGAAAAAAATCATAGAATACCACCAAACTAAAACAACAGACAGACACACAAGGGAAAAGAAACAATGGAGACACAGAATTATCAGAAAACAAAAGATAAAATGGCTACCGGAAGTCCTCATACATCAATAATCACCCTAAATATAAATGGACTGAATTTAGCAATAAAAAGGCAGAGGAACAGATTAGATAAAAAAACAAAAACAAACAAACAAAAAAAACCCCAATCATATGTTAGCTTCAGGAGGCACATTTTAACTGTAAGAACAGATATTGACTCAAAGTGAAAAGGTGGAAAATGATTTTTTGAGCAAATGAGCAGAGAAAAGTGGATGCAGCCATACTTACATATGACAAAATAGATTTTAAGATAAAGTAGTAACAAGAGACAACGGTGGACATTTTATAATGATAAAGGGAAAAATACTTCAAAAAATATATACTTTTCAACATACATACACCCAACCAGGGAGCACCAAAGTATATAAAGCAACTACTAACAGAATTAAAGGGAAAAACTGACAAAAACACAGTTATAGTAGGGGGTCTAAATACACCATTGACAGCCATGGATATATCATCCTAACAGAAAATCAATAAGGAAATATTGGCTTTGAATGACACATTAGACCAAATGGACATAATTGACATTTACAGAGCCTTTCATCCCAGAACAACAGTTATACATTCTTTTCCAGTGCACATGGAACATTCTCAAGGACAGACCATATTTTGGGATGCAAAACTAGCCTCAACAAATTCAAGAAGATTGAAATTATACCAAGAAAATTCTCTGATCACAATGCTCTGAATCTGGAAATTAACTGCACAAAGCAAGGGAGGAATACCACAAATATGTAGAGATTAAACAACATGCTACTAAAAAACAACTGGGTTAAAGAAGAAATAAAAGGAGAGCTAAAAAGATCCATAGAGACAAATAAGAATGATAATATGACATGTCAAACTATTGAGATGCATTAAAAGCAGCAATAAGAGGGAAGTTTATATCATTACAGGTTACCAAGAAACAAGAAAAACCCTAAATAAACAACCTAATATTAAATCTTAAAGAACTAGAAAAAGAAGAAATGCAGCCCAAAGTTAGCCAAGCAGGAAAAATAATAAAAATGAAAGCAGAATTAAATAAAACAGAGAATAAAAATACAATACAAAAAAATTAAGGCAATGAAGAGTTGGTTCTTTGAAAAAGTTAATAAAATTGACAAACCTTTGCCTGGAATCACTAAAGAAAATAGAGAAAAGACTTAAACAAAACCAGAAATGAAAGAAAAGTTACCACAGACATCATAGATATATAAAGGTTTATACACAAATACTGTGAAAGCCTATATGCCACCAAACAATAACCTAGAAGATCAGACAAGTTCTTAGAAATATATAACCTTCCTAGACTGAATCACGAAGACTTGGAAAATCTACACAGAATGATCATCAACAGTGAGGAAATTGAAGCAACCATTAAAAATATCTCAAAAAGTAAAAGTCCAGGGCCAGATGGCTTCACTCATGAATTCTACTAAACATTCAAAGAAGATTTAATACCTATCCTTCTCAAACTCTTCCAAAAAGAAGAGGCAATACTTTCTAACACATTTTATGAGGCCAACATTACCCTGATACCAAAACCTGGAGAGAATAACACACCAAAAAGAAAGCTACAAATGCAAAACTCTGAAACAAAATACTAGCAAACTGGATACAACAATACATTAAAAAGATAGTACATCGTGATCAAATGGGGTTCATTCCAGGAGCTCAAGGATAGTTCAACATAAGCAAAGCAATCAATATGATACACCTCATTAACAAAAGAAAGGATAAAAATCATATGATCTTATCAATACATGCATAAAATTATTTTGATAAAATATAACATTCAATTATGATTAAAACACTCAATAAAATGAGTGTATAAGGAAAATATCTCAACATAATAAAGGCCATATATGACAAACTTTCAGCTAATATCATACTCAAGATGAAAAAGTAAAAACTTTTCCTTTAAGCTCAGGAACAAGACAAGGTTGCCCCTTCTCACCACTGCCATTCAACATAGTACTATAAATCCTAGAAGGAGCAATCAGGCAAGAGAAAGAAATAAAAATTATCCAAATTGGTAATGAAGAAGTAAACATGTTACTTTTTGCAGATGGCATCATTCTTTACATAGAAAACCCTAAAGACTCCAGCTAAAAACTATTAGAAACAATAAACAAAATCAATTTGCAGTATACAAAATCAATCTACTAACAATAAAATTTCAGGGTAAGAAAAAAATAATTCCAATTGCAACAAAAAGAATAAAATACCTAGGAATAAACTTAATAAAGAATGTGAAGGACATATACACTGAAAACTATAAGACATTATTAAAAGAAATTGAAGAAGATACAAAGAAATGGTAAGATATTTTGTGTTCATGGATTGGAAGAATTAACATAGTTAAAATGGCCACATTACTCAAAGCAATATACAGATTTAATGCAATCCCCATTAAAACCCCACTGGCATTTTAAAAATAAATAGAATAGCCAGCCAGTGTGGCTCAGTGGTTGAGCATTGACCTATATATGAATCAGGGGGTCACAGTTTGATTCCAGGTCAGGGCACATTCCCCAGTAGGGGGCAGGCAGGAATAGCTGATCAATGATTCTCTCTCATCATTGATGTTTCTCTCTCCCTCCCTCTCCCTTTCTCTCTGAAATTAATAGAAATATATTTTTAAAAATAGAACACAAAGTCATCAGATTTGCATGGACCCACAAAAGACCCTGAATAGCCCTGACTGGTTTGGCTCAGTGGATAGAGCATCGGCCTGCGGACTGAAGGGTCCCAGGTTCGATTCTGGTCAAGGGCATGTACCTTGGTTGGGGGCACATCCCCAGCAGGGGGTGTGCAGGAGGCAGCTTATTGATGTTTCTCTCTCATTGATGTTTCTGACTCTCTATCCCTCTCCCTTCCTCTCTGTAACAAACCAATAAAATATATATATATTTTTAAAAGACCCTGAATAGCTAAAGCAACCATGAGAAAAAAAGACAAAGCCAGAGGTATCACACTCCTTGACATCAAATTATACTACAAAGTGACAATAATCAAAACAGCATGGTATTGGCAGAAAAACAGACACACAGACCAATGGAACAGAATTGAGATTCTAGAAATATGCACAGATATATGGGAAAATAATCTTCAACAAAATAGCAAAAAGCATACAATGGAGAAAATAAATCCTCTTCAATAAATTGTCCTGGGAGAATTGGAAAGCCACATGCAAAAGAATAAAACTAGATTGCTATCTGTCACCATACACAAAAATTAGCTCAAAATGGATCAAAGACCTAAATACAATCCTGAAACAATAAATTACATAGGAGAAAACATAGGTACTAAACTTATGGGCCTTAATCTTAGAGAAGATTTTATGAACTTGACTTCAAAGGCAAGGGGAGCAAGAGCAAAAATAAATGAATGGGACTATATCAAGCTAAGAAGCTTCTGCACAGCAAAAGAGACTTTCAACAAAACAAAAAGGTAACTAACCAAATAGGAAAAGATATTTGCAAACAACACTTCCAAGAAGGGTTTAATGTCCAAAATATATAAAGAACTCATACAACTCAACAACAAAAACAATTCAATTAAAAAATGGTCAGAGGACCTGAACAGATACTTCTCCCAAGAAGACATACAAATGTCCAACAGATATATGAAAGAAAAGATACTCAACATCACTAGCTATTAGGGAAATGCAAATAAAACTACAACGAGATACCACCTCGCATCTGTTAATGGCTATCATCAATAAGACAAGTAACTGAGTGTTGGAGATATTGTGGAGGAAAAGGAACCCTCATTCACTGCTGGTGGGAATGTAAATTGGTACAGCCACTATGGAAAATAGTACGGAAGTGCTTCAAAAATTAATAATAGAGTTACCATATGACCCAGCAATTCCTGCTCTCAGTACCTACCCAAAACATTTGAAAACATTTGTAAAGATAGATATATCCCTATGTTCACTGCAGCATTATTCACAGTAGCCAAGACATGGAAACAACAGAAGTGCTCTTCAATAGATGATTGGATAAAGAAGATGTGGCACAAATATACAATGGAATGCTTTTCAGCCACAGGAAAAGATGAAATATTGTCATGTGCAACAACATGGATGGATCTTGAGAATATCATGTTAAGTGAAATAAATCAGATGGAAAACGTTAAGAACCCTATGATATCACTCATATGTCAGATATAAAACTAAAAACAACCAATGAACAAACAAGACAAACAAATAAAAACTCATAGCCACAGACAACAGTTGGTTGTTACCAGAGGGAAAGGAGGGTGGGGAGGAGGCAGGTAAGGGTAAAGAAGGTCCAATATATGCTGACAAAAGGAGATTTAACTTTGGGTGGTAAACACACTATGCAATATACAGATGATGCATATAGAATTGTACATGGAAACCTATGTTATTTACCAATGTCACCCCAATAAATTTAATAAAAAACGCAAACATCTTTTTTTGAAGTAAATTTGTAAAAAGGAATGCTAACACTAGAGTAGTCTAGAAAGGGTGCTTGGCACATGTGAAGCTCTCAATAAACTTTTCCTTGGTTTGTCTTTGAAATGATTAACCAGAATTAAGGTAGTGAGATAGAAGGACTTTGAGTAGGAATGGGATGATTTTGGAAAAGAAAGTCCTACCCTGGAAAGCTGGCTTGGACAGGGAATTTGCAGATGTTCTCACTTCAGGTAGGCATACAGTCCTTGGGGTGGAGTGCAGTGGGAGATGGATAGGTAAGAGCAGAAGGAGAAAGGGAGATGAGAAGATGAGGGAAAGCACCAATAGCAGACCAGCTTCATACCTTGGTCCTTGGATGTGGCTTTGCATAATCATGATTACTTACTCATAATCTAGCTGATTTTCCTTGTGTTCTTCCATTGTAGATTCCCTAGAATACCAGCAGAGATGTTGCTCATGAATTGGGGGAAATGGGTCTATGTATGAAACACAGAGTAGCTAGCTAAGAGTCCAAAATATAGGAGCAAAATTAAGTTAACTGGTTTTCTCCCTTCAATCCTCACATTTTGGCCATGACAAAACCTAGCCTTTTGGTTCTTCTGCCCGTATCTGATTATGCCTTAGTAAGGATACAGTGAGGAGATAGGGATAATGCTGGAAAGTTAAATATATGTCCTGCTAGTAGCTATATTCAGAGATGGATCACCTATCCCAAACCTTTGGAAGTTTATACACAGAAGTAAGAATAAAGATTATCAATTATTCTTAGGTCCCTTTTTGCTCTAGGCCCTGCTGCTTTCTTTAAGGTCCCAAATGAGAATGGTGTGCATAACCACCCTAAAAAGTAATCTCTCTGCTCTCTAGCCTGGCCTTTGCAAGAATCTTTCTATATTAAGATCTTTGATATTAAATTGGCTAAGGAAAACCAAGCCAAAGTTTTTGGCTCATTCTGCCCCTTAGTTTCCTCTTTTACTTCATTTCTTCAACGAACTCTACCTCCCCTCTGCTGGATATGATCTTTCTGACTCTGCCCTAGTCAATATTCTTCTGAAGAGTCTAATCTTTTCCCACTGGAACTATCCAGTAGAATCTCAGAACCTGCCAAGTGGTCATGGCTCTGCTGTTGACATTAGGTGGGCGGGGCAGCATGTCACAATGGGGAGGATGACAATGGGTTCTCATGACTGGTATGGAGTTCAGAGCCTAGATGGGCGCACGTGTTTCATGGCCGAGTCTTCCCTCTGGCAGCAGTAGGTTTAATGGGCCTGATTTCTGGGGAGCATGAAGGGGTAGCCCCTTTCTTTTTTATTTCTCTGGCAGGTTGAGCTCCTTCCCAAGTGTGACTTCTTTGAGAACTCTGAGTCCCAAGACCAGCAGTCTGATGCCATGCTGTAGCTAACTAACTAACTAACTAACCATTCATTCATTCATTCATTCATTCATTCATCAAGCACTGAAACATTGAGAGAGCACCTGTGTATGCCAGGCAGGCACTGTTCTAAGCACTAGGCAGGCAGAGTGAACAAAACACTTTGCTCTCATGGAATTTACATTCTAGGATGTGTGTTTATAGGGGGAAGGGTAGCACAAGCAACAAAATAAATGAATCTATTTATTTTTATTTGGTGTGATAACAGAGGAGAATGCTAGGAGGAAACAAATGAGTGAAGTGGGTAAGGGGAAATGCATTGTGTATTGTGTGTGGGAGAGAAGGTGTTGCAGTTTTCAATAGGGCAGAGGAGAGAAAGCAGCTGAGCATTTTCAGAGCCAGTGGTGTAGATGTGTTAGGAGGCTTAGTAAATGGGCCACCTTATGTCCTGCTGAGATAGATGCACAATCCACAGACATCACAGTCACGGGTAATAGCAAGTCTGCGGTTGGTAGTAGCATGGGCCAGCATGTTGCTGGAAAGGCCAGTGGGTCCAGGAGCACCGAGGGGAGGCATGAAGACCCGAAGCTCCTCCTTCAATGCTTTAAGGATACAGAGCTTTTCCCTATCCCTCCCACTTCCTGAGAAAGAAGAGAGCTCTGGAGAGAGAGAGAATCTTCTTAAAACACTGGGAAATTACCCAAAAGAGATTTTTTAACTGGGAAAAGTTCATGATATCTTGAATTGGTCCCACTGAGTTTCCCTTCTCTCCCCCCCCCCCACCCAACTATAGGCATAGGAGCTAGAAGAGGAAGATAAAATCAGTTGGAGAATACATACAATGAATATGTTTCTGTATACTGGAGTATGTACATTTTGGTCCCATTCTGCACCATTGGTAACTTTTTGTGTGTGTGAACCATGTAAACCTGGGAAGTTTGGATCTTGGCTTGGTAAGGACCGCATTGAGTTGATTTGTGGTCCAGAGTGACTTCTTAACACACTGTAGTTTCCAACAAACTATTTGTAAAATTAATGGCCTCTGATGACCCCATTACCATCTCCCTTCTTCCTGAAAGAAGGCATTTCATTGCTTTATGAAGCTGTACACAGAAGAGTAATTAAGTAACAATTCAGGCCAATGGCCTCTCCCAGGAATTAATGGTAGGGAGAGTTCATTAACCCCAGCAGGTTATAGCGTCTCCAGGAAATGCCCTGGACCAAGGTTATCGTAGCTATTAATGCATTGGACAGGGACTTTAACCGGGATAAAAATAAAGCTCTCTCTCCTTCCAGGGGAGCTTTTCTCCTTGAGGAGCCACCAAAGACAAGCCCATAGGAGCAGCAGAACCCCAAGGTTGGGGCCTCGTGTGGGATGAGGACAACAGATTGCTGTTAGTGAGAATTGCTAAATCAAGGTAAAAACAGGGCCTTGGGGGCAAATTAAGGTCCTTGATATAAGCCTTCCTGCTATTCAGGAGGTGGCATGATTAACACCCAGTGCAGCTTTAGAGCAGCTGTTTTCACCTTGCTAACTTTTCCATCTCAGGCCCTGCCCTGTGCAGAAGAGTCGCTGAGAGGGGTCAGATTTTGCTGCGCTGCTGCCAGGAACGCAGTGGCCTTTGTGTGGAAATCTGTTGTGAAAACATTCTCCCTTTTTTCAAACAGGGCATTCAGGCTGTTTGCTGGGCCTTTACCCTTCTGCAGGGAGGGGACTGGCTGGGGACATGAGCCATAAATGGAGGTCCTGGGCCTTGGCCTTCCTGCTGCCCCACAGGGTGAACTATTTCTTCTGCTCACCTTGCTTGCCTGCATGTCACTCTGGCAAATTTTTCTTAGATAATTTATAAATGAGCCCAATTTTGAAGCTCATATCCAGGCAAGGTTCTAGAACCTCATTTTAAGTCACTGTTTTAGAATACAGAATCAATTTTGCTATTTTCCTTATGTCCCTACTTCTTTTTATTTTTACTTTTTTAAAAAAAATATCCTCACCTGAGGACATGCTTATTGATTTTTGTTGAGAGAGAGAGAGAGAGAGAGAGAGAGAGAGAGAGAGAGAGGAAGCATGAGACTTTGTTGGAAAGTTTGTAAGGAGGACATTCTGAGAAAAGGAAGTGTGTGGAAGGCCGCCTGCCCTGTTTATCGGAATTCTGACTTAGGGGAGACTTAGGGGAGTGTCGAAACAGCGCCCCTAATTATTCCTTGACCTTTCCAAATAAGGCTGTGCATATGCAGATCCCTGGGTATTTACTGGAATCCTTATGCTTAATCTTTGGGTGACCTTGCTAAGAGGACAATGCAAACACATGTGTCCTCCCAAGATTAGTCACCCTACTGATTGTATCTGAAGATAAAAATTCCAATAAAAGTCTAACGAGGCAGGCAATCGAGGCTGCTTGGCTGCTATCAGCCAGGTTGTCCCTAGCCCTCTCTTTCACAGTGCAACTGTGTCGGAGTAATCTGTTCATCTGTCATTCAGTGGCTGCTGGTCAACCCCGGCAAGAGAGAAACATCTATCAGTTTTCTCTTGTACTCGTTCCAATTGGGTATCAAGCCTGCAACCCAGGTATGTGTCCTGACCAGGGATTGAACCTCCAACCAAGCAAGACACATCAGCCAGAGCTATTTTTAATTTTTGGTCCCTACTTATTTTTAGTGACTATTTCTGTACAATATTTAGGTTCATAAACTTTGCTTGAATTTCCTTTCAGAATCTTCTCAGAGTAGCTTTCTCAAAAGTAAAAACTTCAATTAAAATGTGAAGGAGCAAGAGAGAGAGAGAGAGAGAGAGAGAGAGAGAGAGAGAGAGAGCCATAAGCAATAAATTATGGTAGTTTGAACCAGTAAAAAATTATGTATTTTCTTTTAAAATTAAATGTTTTTAAGTTTATTGCACCATTGCAATTAGGACAGCAATAAAAAAATAAAAAAGAAAGTTTATCAAGGATCTCGCCTTAGCAAAAACACTGTATTTTTCCAAGTTTCTTCTATTACCAAACCATCTTTTATTGTTATCATAGAATAGAAATATTGTTGTGTTTTGCCTTTTCACTTAATATTTTTATAAACATTTTTCAGGTTGCTACATATTCTCTATAATTATTATTTCATTCGCTGCTTAAAATTCTGCTAGTTGATCAGATTCATAAGTTGCTTCACCATTTCTTTCTAACCATACAGTTTCTCTGTTTGCATATCTGTCTCCTCTTGAGGGCCAGGAGGATGCCTAGATTCATTTTCTAGGGCTGCCATAGCTGAGTACTACAGACGGGGGGTGAGGGGGGGCGGTTTGAACAACAGACATTTATTTTCTCACATTTCTGGAAGCTGTGAGTCCTGATTTAAGGTGTTGGTAGGGTTGTTTCTCCTGAGGCTGTTTTCTTTGGCTTGCAGATGGCTATGTTCTCTCAGTGTTCTTTCATGGTCTTCCCTCTGTGTGTGTGTCTGTCCTAATTTCTTCTTCTTATAAAGATACCAGTCATTTGGGATTAGGGTTCACCCCAATGACCTCATTTAAAATTAATTACCTCTTTAAAGACCCTATTTCCAAATAAAGTCACATTCTGAGAGATTAAGATTTCAATCTATGAATTTTGGGGACACAACTCAATCTACATGAACTATTCAACAAGTGTTTAACTGTGACCAAGTTTATAAACATTCAGATGGTTTTCCCATTTCCCAAATAAAAGCACTTCAAAAATATATTTAGCTTGGCTGGCATGGCTCAGTGGTTGAGCGTCAATCTATGAACCAGGAGGTCATGATTCACTTCCCAGCCAGGGCACATGCTCAGGTTATGGGCTTGATTCCCAGTGGGGGGCATGCAGAAAGCAGTCAATCAATAATTCTCTCTCATCATTGATGTTTCTATCTCTCACTCCCTCTCCCTTCCTCCCTGAAATAAATAAAAATATATTTTAGAAAAAATATATATATATTTATACTAGAGGCCTTGGTGCATGAAATTCATGCATGGGTTGGGTTCCGTAGGCCTGGCCGGCAATCAGGGCCTTCTGGCTGCTGGCTGGTGCTTTCCTTCCCCAGC